CTTGTATCTTTTCATTTGAGTCCAAGCATAATTTTCGTGCAACTGTCAAGAGCTGTGGGATGTAACAACTGGAAAACACTACCCTTCCACAGCTTACTGGAAGGACAGTAGCTAGAAGCTTAAGTATATCCAGTCTAGAGAATATTTACTCTCCTGACTTCATACAGACAACTTTGATAAAATAATTACTCTTCAGGACTCTCTTATTTTCAATGATCCTTAATATTTCTCCTGAGATTACTTAATGTATTATTAGGTACACAGTTAGGATTTTAAAACTTCATAGCCTATAAAATCTCCAAACTAAATATTAAAAATGGGCAAAAGAATTCTGGCCTCCTAATTCACTCAGATGTGAATTTTCTTTATTTTGTCAAAATTAAAATTCAATGAAAAAAATGGAAATGAAGTGTTTGTAAATGGGGAGGGGAGGAGAGGGTGAAGGGAGGGCAGGGACAAAGGGAAAAAAATGAGAACCAAGACCTGTCAGGTAAAGGTGCAAGATCCCAATGATGAATGTAACTGTACTGTATACAGAGAATGTACCAATAAACTCAATGAGAAAAAACAATTCTTACGTGGCAGCAGTTAAAACACATGAAATGAGCACATATGACTTTTACTAAAAGTTTTCTGGAGGTTGAGTATGAATAAGGAATATATAGTTCCTCAAGCCATTTTATCGCCAGTATACATTCTAACTTTGTTAAGAGTATATAAATTACTCCTTAAAGGTATGTTGTTTCAAAATATGTTCAAGCTCCATTATATGACCATTTATAATAAATTAATTTTCCTCTATATGGTAACTGATGGTGTCCAGTGACAATTATGAAAGTCAAATTTAATTCAGCTCTGGAAGAAAAAGACATAGGCCAGAGCAGACAAAACAACTGTTTGCAGAGTTTTTACTCTGCAGTCCCTGCTCTCGGCTATGTGGGAGCCCCCACCGCGGGTGCTGAGTCCTACCTCCAGGGCAGCCTTCTGCACGGTGATCTGGCTGAACACTCTGGCCCCTTCTGGGCACACCGTCCTCAGTTCATCTTTGTTGAGAGAGAAAAGCTGTGCACCATTTAACACTCCAAGACTATTGACCGTCCTGAAAAAAAAACAAAAACCCAAGCATTAAAAACACTGTCCAGAAAAAACAATGAAACAAAATTTTCTGTTTCTGCTACTAACCTCTCTTTTTCAAGCGCTCCATAAACAGGGACACTTCTCAAATGCACTATCTACAGTAAGTAGTTAATGTGATGACAAGTGACTACCAGGAAGTTGACCCTGTGATCCCACGCCTTTTCTAAACAAGATAATTGGTCACCAAGTACCCGAAGACAGTGGTCCTCATACCAGTACTGTTCAGTGTCAATTCCTTGAAATGTGGCCTTTCATGAAAAACAGTTTTGTAGTAATCTGGCAGTTGATTAACTATTGCATCTCCTTTTTTAAATCATGCTGGGTAAATGAATTTATAACGTGTCAAGATTCCCAGGATATGTACTATTCAAATAGTTCAGTGTGGCAACTGCACTCTGTACCAATGTACCAAATACACATAGAATGTTTATAGACATTTCAATGATAAATAGGACCTCTATCATGGGCTTCTTAAAGGAAAACCTATTAATTATATATTATATATTAATCTCTTAAGATTATAATCGATGATGGGCCAAGCTACTTGTTCTTTATTGACTGGAGTCAGCCCATCGGGTCACAGGCGGCAAGCGTGGTTACCACCTTACATGAGCGCAGGAGCCCTGCTAGGACTAGAGTCCGACCCTGTGTACCCTGAAGAGGGTGAAAGCAAGCTACCGGGCCTTGCAACTGCTGACAGCTGTCCAAGGGGACCAAAGATGAACAGATACTACCAGCGAGTAAACAGTGGCATCATGTGAGTTATTCCTTCATCTTCCAATCTTTTCTGTAGCTCAGAATAGCCTCTTCCTGAATACGGAACAGTGGTCCACCATTCATCTGGGCTCTAGCATTTTTGAGAATTATCTGTGACATGAAAATGACCTTGCAAGAAATCAGACATGCTTCCTGCTTGGACCCCCAAGGTGCTCAGAGACTCACACAGGGTTGAACCCCTTCGACTGCAGCCATGTCTTCACTTCCTCTGGTGTGGAATCATATGTGATGTTAATGACTGGCACGTTCTGCCGTGGCACCTGGAACTTCTTCTGTGCAGCGCTGCGCCCAATGGTCAGCCTGTGGATGAGCTCATCCTGCACCTCTTCCATCTGAGACTTCCGTCCTGGACACCAACAGGGAGCAGATCACACTTGAAAATCTTGAACATGGTGGCCCTTGCTAGAACCCCGATCCCAGTGACCTGCGGTCCAACAAGGCTTACACTCAAGAGTTCCTTCTATCTTCCCTTACTTTTATTCCAACCCAGTGTACATTCACGACCAATTATTAAAATGTCTTCCTGGCTCTTCTCACCTCTCCTTACTGTGCTTATCTAGCAAAACCTGCACCCATGCAGCTGCATGTGACACAGCAGAGACGCACAGGCTTGCGTCACGCTCATGATGTGAGGTGCAGCCGGGCTCTGCGTGCTCCTTGACATGTATGCTTTTCCTCAGGGCTCTGGTTCTCTACTGGGGACAGTTCTGATGCCAGGGGACACTGGCAACATCTAGCTGTTACAGCCGAGAGCCTCATCTCGTGGCCACATAAAGGCTGGGGACTCCCAAATCGTCCTACCAGTCCCATTACTCAGAACTCTGAATCTATTTATGTTGTCTACGTGGCATATTTATTAGATATCTATTAAGTATCTGGAAAATATGTCAAATAAAAAATGTCCAAACCTGAATTTTTGATCTTCCCAAAGTATGCTGTTAGCACATTTTTTACTTGCTTTTAGGCTTCTCAGTACAGTTACTGGCAATGGTATCTTCCCAGTTCTTCTGATAAAATACCATGGAGCTATACTTGATTCCCCATTGTATACAATGTGTAATTCATGAGAAAAGCCTACAAATTCTACCACCAAAATATGCCTAACATCCAAGGACACCATTCTATTTTTGTTGTTGTTATTAGAAGCTTGGTCTAAGCTACGAGCCAGTTTAACAGGTTTCTCTGCTCCTTCTCTCTCTCTCTCTCTCTCTCTCTCTCTCTCTCTCTCTCTCTCTCT